TTATTATATATCCAACCAATCAAATTCTTACATTTTTTATAAGTAAAAATCATTTTAAACCAAAATAAGTATAAGTTATTTGTAATATTAGTCTGGGTTATTTTTAACTTTCCTTTATAAAAAATACTATTCATAGCGTTTACGAATTTTGAATATTATTCAGAAATAAATTCTCGGCCTATTATTATATTTTATCTATACCGCACTATATGTGAAATAAAAACAATGTCTCTTTTATTGTTATTTTTAAAACCGAGCGTCATGCTTCAATTGCGCCAGGTGATGGATCACAAACAAACTTTCTGATAAGTGTTTATTGCGTACTTTTGTGCACAATAATTCTGGTATATAAATACAACACTATTCACTATATAAATTTTACTTTCAGCCCACTTTTGACTAAGACCGCATATAGTACCTTGAGATTAGCCTTGAGAGTAGTCCTAAGAAGATTTAATCTCAAAAATAGGCTATTTTTTTAACAATTTTGGTCTTGATTCGAAACTTTTGGAAAATTCGGAAAATGATTTCCCACGCATGTATTTTCTTTGCAGGTACATATATGTATAAACTGAAAAAGGAGAAATTGTTTTCCAGAAATCAGTGCAGTTGATGCACTAATATGTGCTGCGAACTGGACCATGTCTAAGAATGTGCATACGATTGTTTAAAGTTGTCGGACTTTCGAAAGAAAAGTAGTTTTGGTTACTGTTTCAATATGTTAGCAAATCAATAATTAATTGTCTTCCTGCTTGAGTGGACGATTTTAGATTATTGCTGATAATTCCCATTGCACTATCTAAAAAATTATGTATCTCACACCTCTATTGATAATAGTCTGCATTTTCTTGTTTCTGAAAACGAAAACCGTTATTTAAAAAATGTAAGACCTAATGACGAGTTTGAGTTAAAACAATGTTTTAAAAAAACATTGTTGGATACATTTTCTTATGCAATGTAGGTACGTCCATTGAACCCTCACATGTCTGTTTGCATCAGCACGTAGTGTGTGAAACGTGCGCCTCTTATTCTTTCATTCAACCATCAATAGAAAATGCAAAAGTTAAAAAAATTTGTTAAATGTGTTACTCATAAACTCGATTAACCTGTTGCTTTACAATTAAAATTAAATACTTATACATACTCAAAATGGTAAGCAATAAAATTTAAAGTGCAATATTACAGTATCGACAGTGCTTTGTAATATGCAAAGAATTGTTCATTTTAATTGATTTGGAAATATTTCCAAAAAGAGTTAAAAATCTTTTAATGCCATAATAATAACGAATATGTAATTCAAGTTTCCGTCATGTAAATCTTTTCTACATTTCCTATTTGGTTGTCGTCAAGAAATAAAAAATAATATACCTACTGTCAAATTCGAAATAATGAGTTACAGAGTAAGTAATTAAATTCCTCAATCAGAGCGTGCCCACAATTATAGTAATTACCGCTTCATGCGTTATTCGCGAACATTTAAAAATTTAAATATTTGCACATACACAGACTTGTTAAAATTTTGAAAAGTATCATTGACTTAGTACCGAATTCAAAAATGTAACTTGTGCGTTTATCCACATTTCTTTTAGTGTACGACTTGTGAATTATTTGTTTTGCTTCAATAGAGCTGTACAAAATTACAATTAAGCAATACTAAAAATATAACAAGACTGGAAAATCGATTCTTCGCACTTTCGATCTTAAATATTGTGTTTTAAAACAAATATATTGAAGGTGCTTTTTCTGCTATTGAAATAAGGAACAATAATTTATGAGCAACATTACTCGAAAGGTCAAAACATTAATTGAGTACCGAGAGAATTTGAGGGAGTTTAAAAAAATTGTCCCTCACAGGCAAGGTGTAATGTTTAATAACTCTACTCCGTTAGGTGTAATAAGATTGAATTAATGAGACCGTTCTGGAGCGTGACCAAGAGACTGCGAAGCGTGTGTGGCTGCTAAATGTCCCGCTAATATATGGAAAAAGATAATGTGTGTACACTCGCACATGAAAGGTGATTACAATTAAATAGTTGAAAGTTTAAGATGAATTAAGACTTTAACTATCATATCATAAAATTTTGCAATTGGGACACGCATCTGAAACTGAAACGGCACATCAATTAATTAAATATCATTAATTATACCCAACTAGTACAAATATTTTCAATAGAGAAAACTTTTCATTTATTTAATCAACTCTCTAAACTCTAATCAGTATGAAAAAAAACTCGAGAAATCAGTGAAAATCGTCTAATAGTAGGTACCTATTTGCTAGCAAGGATCTTTTTTCACTTTAAAATATTCCCAAATTAATGTTTTAATATAATTACTTTTCACTTTGCTGCTCTAACTTTAACCTTAATCGTAAATATAACATCTTTTTATTGTAATTATCTTTCTTTCTACCTACTGGAAGGAAATAAGTCGAATATAAAATTAAAAAAAGATTGATATAAAATATCTAAAAAAGATGGGCTATAAAGAAAGCAGATGTCCCAGAATTTTGATGTTCAGGAAGTTAGCGTCGAAAATGACAAAGATGGAAATCTCGCTTATGACTATGTGTGAGTTATTGCTTTTCTATGCCTACTGTGCAACATGTAATAAGATATAAAGTCATTAAAGAATTTCTAAGGCATCGGACAACGGCCTCTTATGCCTTATCGATATTTTCCTAATGTCCTAATAACAATAAATACAATGCGTAAGAATATTATCAATTTAACATGGTTCAACTTTTAACAAATTTTTATAGTCAAGGGATTTCGAGTAGTATGATGATTTGGGTCTAAAATGAAAACAAATTCGAATAAATTTCAAGATTCGTTATGTATAACTTTAAATCCTTACATACTTTTGCAAATTTTTTAATGTTTTTAGGCAGTTAAATTCGAATCTGGATTTAGTATAAAAAGACTATAAATGTCAATACAAAATGATTACAAGATTTAGAAAAAAAAGTCGAAAATAATAATAATAATCTTAAAAAATGAAGGAGAAAAATATAACAAACTAGACGTAAAACGCGTAACACAGTGGAAATGAAACTACCGCAATTAAAGCAAAACGTTAGAAGAATATAAATGTCATTTTACGAAAGAAGGAAAGCAGGGTGCTTTTGCCGAAACAATTACTAATTTAGTGCGAATGGATTTGACGTTTCCGTGTGTTGATTGATATCACAAAGAAGAAAGAATCTAAAGAAGGCGTCTGTCGTCTCAGAACTCCAAATCCATCTCCACAAGATATGAAGCGGAAAATAAACATATTTATGTATAAAAAGCTCTTTATTTCACTGGCAGTTAATATACGATACGAACTCATCCACTTGTTTCAACGCAATGGAGAACTTCTCGAGAAAAGGTCGTCGTTCAGTTGAGGATGGACAATTAATTTATATTACATCTTTGAAAGTGCGGCAAACTAGTCTAATTGGCGACACTTGGCTCAAACCCAGTTTCATAGCGTTTTGGGAATGTTAAAATGCCCAACAGTTGAAGAGCACATATATTATATGTATTATTGAGCAAAACACTTGGATAGATATTTTATTAAATTAAAGTTCTTGTTATTAAAATTAAAAGATTAAAAGTAGTCAATTTAAATGAAATGGATCAATACTTATGGTGCAAAAGTTAATAAATAGAAAATTTATGATGGAATTTTTTCTATTACCCGACTGTCTATACGAAATTCATTAACTTTGGGTTTGAAAGTATGCAGTTTTAAAAACAAGAGAAAACAACAATTTTCATACATGAAAAATCGTGCGGTTATTAATATTTATAATTTAAATTCTGCATTCGGCACTAAAAATAGTCGTGCATAAAAGATTCGAAGACGAATTTATTAATGAACGCGTGCGCAATATTGTTTGAAGGGGAGTTCAATTGTCCTTTATAAGTGGGAGTAACTTATTAATTACTTTATGGGGTCCTTTATCAGACCCCAGTTTATTTTGAGAGCACTCGTTATTGTCCCTCTTAAAAAATAATTATGTGGCGCTCAACGGCGATACCGAAAAATCAAGATTACATATACTCTTCTTCGTTTTTTAGTAAATTATTCAGTTTTTGCTCTTTTTTGAAATTTTTACGAAAGATAAACTATAAGAAACATATTGTACCTACACAGGTTCTGTTAATCAGAAATATTTAATTTTTTAGTATTTATATTATGTATTAAATTTATCAAATGTATAAATTATCATTAAATTTGTAGATTCAGTTACGATATTCTGATAAATTTCTTTTTGTCGCTTACTCAAATTTTAGTATTTAAAAAAATTCGGTTTAATTTGAATTTTAGTTAATTAAAAACAACTTAAATACAAATTTAAAAACGTTTCTCCAGGTAAATGTCATTGTTTTATCTCAGTAATAATTCTTACCATATTTATTTAATATCCAAATAAAAACTTCCTCACAAACAAAATTATGCAGTCAGTTTACAAGGAAGTGTTTTATTCATTTTATATTTTAAATTATTTGTGTATCCTCTGTACAAATAAACATTTTTTGTTGCATAAATTATGTAAAGTTAGAATGCTATTTAAATTAACAAGAAATTTTATTTCTTGAAATTATATGAAAAATAAAAGTAATAATTGACAATTTAATTATCAAATAATAATATGAAAATCTCCATTTCACTTTACTTTTAAAGAACTTCATCTCTACAATTGATATAATAATAAATTTATATAACAATCAAATTATACAACTAAATAGTAAAAAATGAAGGCAAACATTATTTTTAAGTAAAAATATTTTCTTTATAATCGTTGACAGTTGAATCATGAAAGAAGAAATGAATAAGTAGGTACTTAATTAAGCTCAATGAAAATATTTTAGTCTTCACAGAAAGTTTCCACTGACGATCAGAGATCAGACGATGACAGCAATGAAAACACTTGTTTTGGCATCGTTAGTTATGTCAATGCCTCACAATAATTTGTAAACACAAAGAAATGGGAACTTGTAAATTAACGTACATACCGCTCATTCGTCCAATGCTGATGTTTTAAACGAGTCCAGAAAGAAGTCTTTAAAAAATTTGTCGTATTTTATCTTTTGTACCGGCATAAAAAGGCGTTGCACGACCGGTTAGCGTGAACTAGGTTAGAAAACGTCCACAGTTCCACACACACGACACGGGCGAAGACGATTCGCGACTGACTGCGACTGTACTGCCGGTCTGACCGGCTGTGTACTATCTCGCCTCTCACCACTCTCGCATGCACTCTCTCGCAGTCTCTCGCGTGTAAAACGGGTAAAACGGGAGGCGCTTTTCTATTTCTCTCCAAACGAATGTTTCACTGTTGACGTTTGCGGGAGGATGGAAGTCGGGATCGAAATATTATGGAAACATGTACCGACAGATAGAACGAGCCAAACAGAGAATTCGAGAAAGAAACCAAATGAAAGTGGGGACGGATTCCTCGTGTTCGTCGTCTGGTTCACTCCAGCCGGTCCAGGGATGTACTCCACCCAGGCGAAAGTTTTTCAGATTATCATTTCAACCAATTATTATTTTGTGACAATCCGAAATCACTTTTCGTCCTAACTTTATTCCATCTCAGTGTGAAATAATAAAAAAATTTGAAGGCAATTTCGAATTTGATTTTAAAATAAGGGATCGTGATTATATATTATATGTCCAGAAAATTATTTCAATAACTAAAAATAAATAATTTACATCTCTTATTTAACAGAGAAAAGTCATATTAAATTAAAAATATTCCTTTCTTTCTATTCTAAATAATTCATAGAAATAAAAAAATACCGAAATAGAATCTTAATAGACGTAGAAAATTAAAATTTAATTTAATTTTTAAACAACTGTTATAAAACATTTTTCCACGAAAATGAAAATATTTTCCAGCTGAACGGCACTAGCTGAAGGCAAAGCCATTTAGATTTAAAAAGTTCATCCCCTCCGTTGGTCCACATGACTCGGGAGAAGAATTTTGCCAGCCAACAATTCCTCCAGCCCTCTGAGCAAACCTTTTAATCAATACTGGTATGGCGTCCTCCAGGTCACTCTCTCTTTCTCCCATCGCCACCCCCTAGTTATATGCACTCTCGCTTTCTCGATTCCTTCGCTTTTCACTCTGATATCAAAGCTGAAATGACTTCAACAATTCTTCAATTGAACCCCTTGATGCAAGAACCAGACGCTGCCCATTTAATTTCAATGGTCTATGTCTGGTTCTTGCATCAAGGGGTTCAATTGTGGAAAGTTTGCTCTTGAAAAAAAAAAATTTTAACGTTTGCATAAAAGCTTTCGTTTTTACTGCTCAATTATGAGTACTATGAGTACAAAGAAAAAAATTAAAAAGCATTATATAGGAATTTTGGCAAATTCTACAATCGACTAAAAATATTTTACAAGAACCTTTGTTACAAAATATTACAAAAAGAAAGAAGGTTGATACCTGCTTTAAAAAAATTAATAAAATACTATTTAAATAGACCTTTGTATTAAAGAAGAATTATTTCAAAAAGTCTATAGTTTTAATTTTCATAATAAATTATGTACATTATACGAAATTTTTGCTACAATTATCATCTTCTTTTCCCTCTCACAGTGTATATTTTATTACAAGTTTAAATGTATCATAGACCGAGAAATTTTAAAACTCCCCGGCTGGAATAAAGTCAAACCTATTTTATCGACAGCGAATAAAATTTTTTTTTGAATTTTAATACGGTGTCTCCTTAAATTGAAATCAATTTAAAAGAGCACTCAAAACTATTTTTTGTCAAAAAAAGCTAAATAAAAAGAAAATATTTATCTTTGTAAAATTTTAATATAGGTTTCTCTAGGGATGGAAATATTACCAATCATTCTCAACTTCTTTTTTCCAGACGCTTGTTGGGCTAATAATTTCTTTTTTCTTGTCACATCACCCCCGTACTGAAAATAAATAGATATAATTTGATTAAAAGTGTTACACCATTTTCAAATCAAACAAACAATTATCTGTACTTCAGGGATCGAACTAGGTCCGTAACTTTGCTTCAAGTCCGTAAAAGTCATTTTTAAAAAAAAAAAAAAAGGTCCGTAAAGTCCGTAATTTGATTGAAATAGGACAAAAAGTTCGTAAATTGTACGATATAACTTAGAGAATTTTAGAGAAATTACAAATGATTGTAGATTATTTCAATTATTTTTAAAAGTAATAAAATTCTTCGCAGTAAAATGTTCTCTTATTTGACTCGGACTGATTTTATTTTTGTCAGTAATTGGTCCGTAAAGTCCGTATTTTGAAATACTTTCAGTGGTTCGAGCGTTGATACTTACGAGCTTGGCGGTAACGTCTTTTCTTAAACAAGGTAAATTTTCCCTGGATAAAATCTTGGCACCTACTGCCGCTTGAATTGATATATGATACTGTTGTTTAGGGATATTATTTAACAATTTAAGACACAATGCTTTAGCTTTCACAACTGCATTACTTGCATGCACTATTGAACTCAATTCTTCAACTGGGTTTCCGTTTAACAATACGTTCATCTGTAATTCAAAATTTTTATTGATATTCATTCAGAATTAAATTTTCCTTTTCTTTAGAAATTTTATAGAAAATTAATTAAAGTTTTTACTGAAAATTGTTTACCTTAACAATATTTGATTCTTGGTATCCACAATCCTCATAATCAAAACTCGCATAACCGGAACTGACGGATTTCAAACTACCGTGAAAGTCCATAATAATCTCATTTAATGGAAATATATACTGTAGCATCATTCTTTGGTTATCGATATACTTGGTGGACTCTTCGATTCCCCTTTTCTCCGAGCATAAAGTCATAATTCCTCCCAGGTATTCAGCTAAATCAAATTGCAAATTTATATACACGTCTCACTGGAATTGTTATGAAATGTGGATAATGAAAACCGTTTACCTGGAGTTATAATAGTTCCTCGCACTATCGGTTCATAAAACTCTGTCACATTAACAGGATTTGGAAACTCAAGTGGATTACTAAAATAAAATTCCTCTCCCTTATATTTCTCAATACTTTTAGTGCCAAATACTTTTGCTTTATAAGTGACTCCAGGAGAGCTAAGAATGGGCTCAGCTCCATATTCTTGTTCCAGTCTCTGTACAAACACTTCCATGTGCAACAATCCGAGAAACCCGAGTCGCCAACCCTGACCTAGCGCTGGACTGAAACGCACAATTACATTTCGTTCTTTAATATTACAACTAAATTTTATTTCGTAGCTATTATAGTTTGCACATATTGTATAAAGTAGAAACAAAGTAGGTTAGATTGTAATACCTCGATTCTTCCACGACAGTAACGGCATTGTCGTTCAAAATTAATTTTTCTAAAGCACTGCGAAGTTCGGTAAACTGAGATTGATCTATAGGATAAATTCCTGCAAACACCATTGACTTTGCGACTTTAAACCCGGGAAGAGGCTGCACCGTAGAGTCCTTTAGACGAAACGTGTCTCCAATGTGAGCTTCCTTCAGTGATTTCATGTTGCATTTCAGAGCTCCAACTTGACCTGCATATCTGAATAAAATTAAAAGAAAATAATGAGCAATCATTAAAATAAAAACGCAATTAGCGTGTATTCGGTTATAATTTGCGAATCTACTTACAATGCTTTGACTTCCTCCTCTTCTGGTCTCAGGAAAGATAAACTTTTGACTTCGTAAGTTTTTCCAGTGTGACAAGACGAAATACTGTCTCCTACCGAGACCTTTCCTTGTTGGACGTAAATTAAAGAGACAGTGCCCTTGTATTTATTGTACCAGCTGTCGAATATTAATGCCCTGAACGGCTCATTTCTCAAAACCGGTGGTGGAGGTATTCTTTCAATGATTGCCTCTAAAACAGCTTCACAGTTTGTTCCATTTTTGGCAGATATTTTCAACACATCGTCGCTCTCTATTTCAAAGAGAGTATTCAATTGCTTCAGAACACGATCAGGATTGGCATTTTTCAAGTCGATTTTATTAATAATGGGAATCATGGGTAGATTCTTTTCGAAAGCGAGATAAAAGTTGGCAACTGTTTGCGCTTGAACACCATCGTTGGCGTCGACGAGCAGAATTACGCCCTGACACGCGGCGAGTGATCTGTAGACTTCGGACGAGAAATCGACGTGCCCTGGAGTGTCGATTAAATTCAAAAGATACTCCACACCCTTGTGAGTGTATTTCAAGGAAGCCGTTTGCGCCTTCACTGTAATTCCGCGCTCCTTCTCCACTTGCAGCTTGTCCAAAATTTGAGCTCCCGAATTTGTTTGAATGGCCCCTGTCATTTCCAGGAGACGATCGGCCAATGTACTTTTGCCATGATCTACATGAGCAATTATGCAAAAATTACGAATTCTCTCTATCGGCGTCTCATTTACTTTTGCAGCTGATGAACAATTTCTTTTTAAGATTAGACATCTTGCAGGTCTGAAAATTGATATAAAAAATATTGAAAAAACTTTAAATATCACTTATTTTCAATAAAAAAATTATAAATATAATTGTTATTCTTTGTATCTTACCTTAAATTTCGAAAATTTTGTAAAGTATTTAGATGACAAGCATATCGCTTTACATTATGATTTATAATATTAAAAAGCATTATATTCACAGACATAATTGCGTAAGAATATTATTTATTTACAATTTCTAATCACAACTCGCGAAAGTTTTTACTTTCCTAACCTAAAAACTACTACGTTCATGAACACACTCATTTCTTAAATTCTTTTATTATTGAAAGTGAAAGAATCTTAAACACTTTAATTGCATTTCAACAAGAATTATTAGTTTAATAATTTAAAATTAATAACTGTAAATAAATTTTAAAAACCCTGGCGAAACGAAACAAATGTAACAGTGAACGTCGTCTGCTAAAGAATAAACTATAAATTATTTCTGCTACGAAGACACGTGGGACACGGTGGGAGTGAGCGTGAGCATATCGAGACAAGGTTGGAAAGGTAGAATTGACTAAATGAACATGGAAACATGAGAAAAAGACGAGGAAGAATGCATTGAATAGAAAAAGAGAGCAAGAAGTACAAAAGTAACCCTGCTATTTTCACACCCCTGGTTTTACAATTTCTATATTTTTGATATTTTTTAAGTGGCAAAAGTACGATGGCATCGCTTAATGCAACTGCTTTCAGGTTAACTCATGTTGTCAAGTCAATAATATTATCAAATAATACAATATCTCAACATATTCAAACCAGTGGAAACCTCTTACGTCTTCATAATGTTCGAGTTTATTCAAACTACTCGCATACTAAACCTGATAATGTTTTCACTAAGACACCAGAAGTCAGAAAGAAAACTGTCCCAATAGCAAAAGTTGTGTTGCTCTCTGAAGAAGGTAGGTACTTAAATTTAAATATTTATTTTAATCATAACATTTATTAAAAATGTTATATAAATTAACAGATTTAAAGAGTGTTTGAATTTTCTACTTTATTTTAAAAAAGACTTAATTTTTAAATATTTATAAATTAAAACAGGCAAAGTCATGGATCAAGTTACATTGGAAGAAGCGCAACATTTAGCGAAGCGCAGAAATTTGAACCTTGTTAAGATTGTTGATATTTCATTGAAGACAACCTTACCTACTTATAAATTAATGTCTAAAGTTCAATTACTTCAAGAAAGAAACACGAATAAACAAAAAAGAGGAATTGAGAAGAATGCTTTATCTAAGGCAACTAAAGATTTCATTTTTTCCAATAAGATAGAACAACACGATTTAGAAACAAAAATAAATAAAATGATTAAATTACTTATTAAACATCACAAGGTGCGAATATACATTACAACAAGTCCAGATCAACAAGTATTCGTAAGATGATACATATTCTACTTAATCTATTTTTTGTACTCTTCAACTTAAAGGTTTGGTAAAATTTCTTTTCATTCATTTCAGGAGAACAATATTAAATTAATAGAAACTCGCCTTAGTGAAAATGGTACTTTGTCAAAAACCACAAAATCAGCTTCAGGTATAAAATTATATTTTGATCCTAAAATACAAGAGGAAGGGGATATTCAAATTGAGGAGCAAAGTAAGGACAATAAAAATAATGAAATTAAAAAGGAACATTAGATGTTTCTAAAGAAAACTGTATATCTCTTTAAAAAAAAAAAAAACAGAGATAATAAAATGCGTGCCGTGTACGCAATTATGTATAAAAATTTATTCAATAATATTAAATATATTAAAATTTTAATTCAAGAAACAGAATTTTAAAAAACTCGCCCCAAATAGAAAAGTAGTTTCTATTCCTAAAAACTTGAGCAGGATATAGAAATTCCAAGAATTAAAAAGTCATTTTGATATTTCCAGGGTATTTTTATTTCCCTAAGAATTTAAATTGAAAATTTAATGGACACCCTGATAAGCTACAATTTGTACACTGTCCATTCTTTATATTACACACTAATGGTAAATACAAAGTTTATAAAGTATAAATTATTCTTTCATACTTTGGGAGAATTACATTTCATCTTCATTCTTTAGAGAAAATCGTCTAGGAATGAATTAATATTATTTGCCTACTACAAGACAATTAAAATTAGGTTCTCTTTAAATTACATCACAATCCATACTGAAGTCACTTAGTACAGAAAGAAAAAGAATCTACAAAAGTCCTTGTCGTTTTAAATCTTCGTACGTTTTTCGATTAACAACATTTCCGAGCGAATCTTCAAATTCTTCTTCTTGCTCAGGTTGCCAGCGTTCAGCTTGCTTTTGAGCTTTCAACTTCTCCCACAGGACCAAGGCATCCTCTATTTGCGTGACGTTGGCGAAATGTGCAGTGTTTGGAATTCCGAGACATCGCATTCCGTGAGAGTGACGCCACTGAGCGAAATGCCGCTGAAAAGCCTTGGGACCCTTGTACGTAAAGTTTCCGCAGATTTCGCAATTGTAGCTGATATTCAGTCCGTGCAGTTTGTAAAGCCAGTAGGGAATCGGCTTTCCATCCCAACCTAGAGGTAGATTTTTGGGATTGTAAGGAACCTCGTTGTCGTCGTCGTCCTCGGAATCGGATGCACTGGCCTCTGCGTCGGAATCTCCTCGCTCTCCTTCAGTTCGTGCTTGTTTTCTCTGCACATTTTCCTTCGTTGCGACTCTCTGACTCGACACTAATTCTGCTAATTTGTAAACCTGTAATGAAAATTACATGGAAAATTAGTGGACAGCAAAGATGATAATCCAGGAGACAGATGACTCGAACCAGTGAAATATAAGTATTTCAAAATACAGACTTTACGGATCAAAAATTAAAAATTACGGACCGATTACAAACAAAAATATAACCAGTTCGAGACAAATAGGTGCAAATAGGAGAACATTTTACTTAAAACTATAAATTCAATTTTTTTTATAACTAAAACATGAATAAATCGATCACTCCGAGTCTCTGAATTCCTGCGAAGAATTTTGTTCTTTATGATAATAATAATTGATTTTTGTTACTGCTCTTGTATATACTAACCTGTGCTTCGAGTCTGGCGATTTCCTTCTGCTTCTCGACATCCTTTCCTTTTCCCGGCTTGCGCTGTTTTTTCTTGGCGAGAAGTGCAGGATCCAGACTGGCTTCACCCTTCGTGCTGAAAAGCCTCTGCGCTCTTTCTTCCAGCGTTCCTCCGCATTTCAGACCAAGAGCCATAAGAGCAGATTTGAGTCTGTCGAGACCCAAAGATGCTAATTCTTCCCACGAGGAAAAGGCAGACAATTCCAAGTGTGCTCCTACATGAGTCAAAGCACTTCCGGCTTCCTTCGGCCAACCTGGGAATGTATTGTTTTCCCAATGCTTTTCAAATTCCCTGTCAAGCAAGTTTAACACTATTATTATTAAAAGTCCAATAAGAAAAACTCACCAGCTTGTAAATTAAGATCGAAATAAATTTTAAGTAATTAAAAAAGAAATACCTATTTGCTTCCTCGACATCAGCATTGAGGTCGTGAAGAGGTCGAACTCTGGCTAGGAATTCAGTGAGATATTCCAGTAAGGCTTCAACATAACGTCTATACTCGGCGTTTTTTCTATCCTTGGGAATATCGAAGAGATGATCAAACACCGAAAGATAGGTTATGTAGTCAAGTTTCTCAACGCCCTTCAGATTAATATACTTTTCATAACACTCGTGTAAATCTAAATATTTTCCATAGCCTTCCTCATCTGTGAATTCGACTAGATTTGACAATTCCTCGCTGGGGTTCTCTCTCATTTTTGCGAGTTCTTCAAATTCTACAGACATGGGCACACTAATTTCATTGGGATGTCGACGATAGAATTCTTTGATTGATTTTAATCTCGCGTAAAACTCGGAAAATTCATTAGGTCCCGAAAGAGCTTGAACTTCTTCTTTTCTCTGACCATCCTTATCCTCATAAAGATCTTGTAGATGAGTTGTACTGTCCATAAAATGATCGAGTAGAATTTTTAAACGATGCTCCGAATTTACCATTTCACGATGTCCGCCTTTTTTATATAGCATTTCTTTAACCATTGCATCCATCAAACGTTCTCGTTCTTCATGATAACGACGCTGTTGTTCTAATATTGTCTCCATGATAATATTTAAAAAACACAGAAAAGGTTGACAAGTAGTGTATTTCACAAATGTTTACGCACTGTTTACGTTTACACTGTCAACACTAGTACTGTCAACTACTAATTGAGATTATAGACATAGACTACAGCATGAACTAGAAGGGAACAGAGCTGGCAGCATAATGATCATTATGTCCAGTTCACAGTGGTGGCTGAAGGTGCTTTCCCACTACCTGCTGCAAGAGTTTTGGTAACGTGGTGGTAACACACGATGGATGTACGATGACAAATAGGTAGTTGTTTTTGTTAACTGCTATGCAAAAAGCCATTTAATTAACAAAACGCACAATAATATAAGAGGCAAAAAATTTAAATTAAATGTTTTTATAAAATCACTTATTCCTACTGCTGCCTGCGTTTGCAAAAGTAAACTTTACTGCTACTTGGCAGCCTAACCTAAAAGCTAAAACAAAATTCTAAAATAACACTAAAAACAATTTTCTGTAGATTTACAGTTTTGTTTAGAATTTTATAGAAACTTGTAAAATAACGTCTTTAAAAGTAACAAATTTAAAATCCCTTCTGTAAAATTAATACTTTTAATGTGTCAATTTTACAATTTTCTGTAAATTTACTACTCTGAAAGTAGGTAATATTTTTGTCTTTTTATTATCTACTTTTAGAGTAGTAAATTTACAGAAAAAATTGACACATTAAAAGTATTAATTTTACAGAAGGGATTTTAAATTCACTACTTTTAAAGAAGTTATTTTACAAGTTTTTATAAAATTCTAAACAAAACTGTAAATCTACAGAAATTTTTTTTTACAGTGAAACGAATATGTAGATGTTTTAAGTTTTTGTACTTATTATTATTCTTGATTTTAAGAATTTCTTAAATTAACGTTACTAAATAATTAATCAGTTAAAATAAATGACAAGAAAAAATAATGTTTATTTTTTCAAACAAGAGTACATATATGTAGTCACGAATAAAACAGTATTATACATGTACCTTTTTTTAAACAAAAGTAGTCGAAATTTTTAAGAAACGCATAAACCTTTTAGGCTAAAACAATATCAACTTATTGTCACAGACTCAGAACAGCAAATCACTGAAAAGAAAAATACAGTGATTATTTGATTCTAATTAAATGTAATTTTATTAGTAAAAGTATTTAATTGGAAACATTTTTCTATTGTACACATGAATATAAATCTAATTGTTGTTTTACAACAATTATTACCAAGCAATAGAACGAAATTCATAAAAAAATGTGTAAATTAATAAAATAGTGTTTCCCAATAAATAAATTTACTTGAGATTTAAAGAAAATACTCACCAATGACAGAAAAATACACTTGACAGTTACTTTGTTACTTTCTTTTTTTCGAGAAACTCATAAAGAGACATGAATTGATTTTTGGAAGATACAGGAAGAAGAATCCCCTCTCTTTGAAAAGCAAGACTACCAAATGGATTATTATCAGAAAAAATACATTTCGCTGACGGGAAACTAGAAGTGATGATTGCTTTTTCGATAATTCCTTCAGTTTTTTGTTGACTTGTCACTAGCAAAGGACACTTTCCCTTTCTAAAACAATTTATAGATTTCTCCCAAGTATCGTAAACCTGAAGACCTGGATTAAAACAAGCGATAATATCGGGTTTTAAGTAGCTGTCCTCCCGACAATATTTATCATACATCACTTTTCTCGATTCAATCGTAAGTTTCTTTTTCTCTTGCATGCACTGTTTACAAAGCGGTTTTATTATTCTCGAGTTTGACATCACATCAGGACCAATTAAAATGATTTCAAGTTGACACAATTGTGGCAAATAGTGACATATGACTTCCCAGTCAGTAAGCATCTGTTCCACGGCGGTGGCTCCAACGACGTGAATTACCATTGAACGTAAATTGAGACTCAGTTTGTCAATGGCGAAAAGTATCGAACACGACCGCGAGAACATTTCCGACAAAGCGGCGTTATAAATTGTCTTCATTTCTTCCGTGAATGTGATATTGAAATTCTTTAGTTTAGCAGAATCTCCCAACGACAGGCGACTTTCAAGCAGATGGGACATAGAAGAAGGCAACTTGCTGTTTTCGGGATGATAAGAGCTCTGAATGATGCCCGATTTAAGTAGTAACGATAGAACCTCGTCAACACGTTTCGCACTTGCTGTCACAAAGGCAGTTCGGGTTTTTCTGCATTCATAGTCGTGATTGGGATCGTTCAAGTGTTTCTTGCAGAAGCTCGATTGAGGACAATTCGGGCAATTCGTTAGAAGCTCTTGCTTGCTTTCGTAACAGACGGCACAAATTCTTGGAAACTGGATCATTTCATATTCAGCTTTATTTAATTTTCTTTGGAGTAGTTTGACTGCCGTTGGTAATAATTTACAAATAAATTCACTAAGCGAATTATAGTACTTTAATTTCTCCTTGAGGTTTTTCATCTTATGTAATGACTTTCTTGAAATAGTATTTTTCACAAATTGAAATAGATCATCGCAATTCCAATTCTTCTTTATCTGGCATATTACTTTACAGAATTGTTTATGAGATGGCCAGTCCTTCACTTGATGTTCCTTGCAACAGTAGGACACGAGTCCGCAAGCACTACATCTTTTTAGATTAATATTCTCCCCGCCATAAGAATGACAAGCGTGACACATGTTGGCAAAGTAAAATTTCTCGTCAGTGGGACACGAACTGTCTATAAAACTTATCTCGTCAAATTCATCACAGAAGCACGAATATTGTTGAATAGAGGCGGCAAGTATAGATTTAAACCTATCCATTTTACAATTTTTCAGTTTCTTGGAACAAACTTTTATGATAATTATTTTTTATTTCGTGTAAACGATGTGTAAAGTGAAGGCCGACCACGAAATAAAATATGACTATAAATTCGTCATTTGTTTAAAAATTTTCGTCGTACTGTAAGGCCATTTCTACAATAAAAATGAAGTCTTATGGCTTATGGTGCACTCACACCTCGGGCACCTCGGTGGCCGCCACGAGAGTAAGGGAGAGAAAACACATCATTTGAATTTTCTGACTCTCTTACTCTTTACATTACCTTGACAACATAATTATGTCCACAATAGGCTATTTTTATGTCCTTATTATGGTTGAACATAAAAAGAGCATATTTCGCAATATTTGTATTGTATCTCTTTGTGTTTATATATTTGTATTAAGAATTAATCTCCTTTGTGCATTTTTATTTAAAAAATTGAAAATACAACCTGAAAATATTCCGTGGCTTCTTAGGTCCATATTCTTACGTGTAATATTTAATTTAATTTTTGTCATATTGCAAAGCGCGGATTGTGCGACTTTTTCGACTTTTTTGGGAAAAAATGCGAATAAGGAAATAATTTACATAATTTCTATTTTTTAAATACAATTGTTTTTATAAAATTCAAAGTTTTTCAAAAATGGAGGAAAAAATTTTACTGAAAAAAATGTCCTGTTACATATTTATTTACGAATTTCTTTTAAATTATTCGAAAACATGAACAACTTCTTTTTTAAATAAATATTTACTTATTATTATTTTTCCACAGGAATTAAAATTCTTCAAAAGCTTTAAATTCAAATCTTTTTGAAATTAAACAACTTATATAAAACATTAAGAAAACGATCAAAATTACTTTCATCATATTTTAATTCAATTATTATTTTCTAAAATGTTGAATTATTTTTTATGAAAATATCGGAAGTATATCCATTAACATATTTTGCTTTTTTTTACATTTTTTACAATTTCATGCCTCTTTTTGATCGTTTCTTCTAAAATTTCATGCGACTTTTGTTGTGAATTTATGCGACTAAAGCGACCTTTTTGGGTCTTAAAGTCGATTCGAGCCCTGTCATTGTAAAAAAAATAGTTTTAGAATCTGGCGCCTACGGAAGACAACCCGATTTACATGTGTGTATATCGTTTGCCAGTCGTGATTAATATTTTTCGTCATCTATTTAACATTCATATATTTGGTATATAAATGATAACGATCATTTAAAAAAAAAATGTTTTTAATTCTAGCGTATCAATGAATAAATAAATCCATGTCTGCAGTTGTATAAAGAAAACTATATTATATTTATATACACTTATATTTGGACTTTTATTATATAGATATATATTTGCTATAATATTCAGTTAAAATATTCTTATTTCAGGAAACTTTTTCATATAATTTAAAAATATATTACATTCCTGGGGAATAATAAAATACCTATATATTTATAATAATCTTAAACGAAAGCCTTGAATTAAGATATCGTTTTTCAATGGATAAATAAAGATTTTTTTTGTTATTCTAATAATATAATAATATTTACATCATATGTGTGAAATATATTTTTTTGCCAGACTGTACTGTTCTTGGAAGTCGTTCCATTCATGCGGTGTAGGTGCTGTTTATTCTGCCCAACGATCTTGAATTAGGAATTATAGGAAATTAGTAGATTAAACATTTTTAAATATTTTTCCAAATTTGTTGTTTAAAAAGTTAAATAAAATTTCTAGACACTAGTTCAGTTAGAAATTATTTCATTACACTGAGAAAACTGGATAGTCAAACTTAGAGGGTTAGGTTTCGAGTGTTAAGCCTGATTCTCTGAATAGTTAACTTTTCCTTCCGAGTGAGTCAAATTAATCATCGGAGTGTCTATTTATCCCTCCGAGATTGTTACGAAAAACTTAACCTCAAATATAGTCTGTTTGTCCCTCCAGATAGTTAGTTAAATACTCCAGTTTTCTCCGTGTACAAGAGACGCAGACGTAGTGTGTTTCGAATTACGTACTATTATTTTTTATCTGTTTATTTTATTGTGTTTATTGCCAGGAGTGAGTATGACAATTACTAAATGAAAAAGAATTAGATAGTAAGTTACAAAAATATCTAGTAGAGTTTATTATTATCATTTATAAATAAAAAGAATATTCAAGACTATATTTTTTGGTGATATTTAAAGAGGACATGTTTAAAATGTGTATAGTTTTAAAGTTGACAATATTTGTCACTGATTGCGAATTCTTGCTTTCTTTCGTGTGAGTACCTATAATAAACGTTGGAATTTGAACCTCCCAGAGCCTAAATAGATTGCAAGATTCAGGAGATGAAAAAAGTAGATGGAATCCTGATGAAATAACTTGACGAAAGTATATATCTTTGAAAGTGCGTGGCTCTTGAACCTCCAGCTTGGATTCACTGCCATATATATTTCTTATTGTGATTCAAAATAATTTATATTTTAAATTTCAAAATGCATTTCATTTAATTTGATATACGTATATTTTAAAAAATTTCTTTTTTATATAATTCTATTGAACGAAATTTTCTAACTGAATTGTAATGAAATTTTTATTCGAATTCTTTATGATATTGTAGAAGAAGCTTAACGTATGCTGCTCTGCGCAAACTCGTGCGACGAGTTCAAGCAATGTTGGGATTCCCCTTCATATCTAAGATATTTGAAATTATCCATTTTTAAAAGAAGTAGTAGGTAAATATTTATAAATTTTTTATAAAGTTTTCGAGTTTTGTAGAAACATTCTCGTTTACAAACGAAAATAATCGCGTACTTGATGCAAGTGCTTGAAAATATGGAGAAATATCTCAGAGTGTTTGAGAGCCCTTAAGTGACATGTAAAGACAATAGTTGCGTGTTGCATTCGCATCGATGCGAGTACACGCGAATATTTCTTGGAAACCCGAAATACGAACCACGAGCCCTTGTCCCACGACCAAACGACGCGACTAGGCGGCTCGTGTGACATTGGAGATCACCGCCATTTCTCGGTGGCCCAGGACCTCTTTTCTTACCTCTTTCTTCCCTCCCTTCCCTCGCAACCTTCTCACTCGCGCTTTCATTTTCGATAATTTTGCATGTGAGCTCCTTCAATTTTTACACCTGTTTAATATTTCTATACTCCATTACTTTAAGATTTCTTTTATTTTTTCACCAAAATTAGTGTTGTGGTTTCAGTTGATTGGAAAACTTTTGCGAAATACAAATATGCAAATGGTTAAATATCATTTTTTTATTTGAAACTTCATTTTTTTGAAATTCAAAACTTAAAGTTTTGTCTTCACATATTAGAGTGTAAAAAAAGTCCACTTTTGAAACACGAGACTTTTTCAGATTTCAGATATGCGTTGATGTCTTAATCGATTTGATGATATATATTAGGGTGACAACTTTAACTTTTTTTTCACTGATGGATTGATGACAATTTTGGGAATAACGAAAGTCCATTTTTCTAATTTTCAAATAGTGTTTCCTGATAAAGACATTAAAATCACGTACCATATAGGTAAGTCTTTTGGATGAAGGAGCGATTTCTCGACCATCCCCCTAAATTCGAACAGTTGGAAAAAGAAAATTTAACATTTTTAGAAAAAGCTCTATCGATATCTTAGAAATATGAAAAAGTGTACGTAAGTTGCCTAAGCCAGCGCGGACACCCAATAAATGTTTATATTATTTTGGGAGGATGAGAGCAAGCAGAGTTACGAGAGATACGGTTTCAAGTCGCGAAATTCCAAAGCGTGCGCGCCAGACAGGTCTGCCTCCCGCATCGAGAGATCCCAGATAAATCCTTCACGGGCCAAACTATATCCTCGTCCTTCGGCACTTCACAAGGCTCGTCCGGTTATCGCCAGGTAATCCCGCCGTGTGCCCTTTAACCGCAATCCTCTTCGCCGAAATTACGGTGGTTAAAACCGATCTTCACTCAGATCAAATGGTAACATCTTCCGCGCCCATATCAAATCAGTGTTCGCCATTTTTTTTCGCGCCTCCACCTCTCGACACCGCTGCATCCCCGTCTAATATCAGTAATTCAAGTCGATTCACCTTCACTCTCAAAAACCATCGCACCCATGCAAGTTAAACACTGAAAGTACACACCATACTCTTCAACCTACTGTTGGTAAAATCTACATTACCAACAATCGGTTAAGGTACTTTGATTTTTACTCCTTAGGGGCCGTCCATATTACGCAACGCTATTTTTCAAAATTTTCACCCCTTTACAATAAAACGTAATTTTATTTATATTGGCGACACTATTTGGCTTATTCTAACAAATAACTTGACCCCCCCCCTCCCTCATTAAGCGTTATGTAATATAAGGACGATTTTCTTTTCATCCTATATAGTCTTCGACTCGGAGTTATCGATATCTTCATGTTTTATAGTTATGAAAAATCGAATTTATAGTTTTGAGTAAAATGTTCTCTTATTTGACTCGGACTGGTTATATTTTTGTCATTGGTCTGTAAATAGTTCGTAATTTTTAATTTTTGGTCCGTAAAGTCCGTGTTTTGAAATACTTTCATTGGCTCGAGTCCTGCTATAAATAGGATCACTAAATGAACATAGCAACGAGTATTGAGCTCCATGGACAGGAACAAAGTATTTATTATGTGCTATTCAAAGTCACGACTTTAAAGAAGAAGAATATTTGTTTATAAACGAAAGATTTTTGAAACTTACGAATTGATTAATAATAATTATGTAGGAGTGTGATAACAATGATCTTGTATTGATTTAGGGAGCAGGTGGCCTCGAGTTGGCAAAGTATTAACGAGCCGACCAAATAAGCTTTTGCGGGTGTCAGACTTCCCACGAGTGCGCGAAGGGCATTTACTCATTGCAAATGCGTCGGTAAAGCTGGGTAAAGCCACTTCTGGACTGTAATGACAACCGTCAACCGACAAGGCGATTGCCACGTGCTAGAAGCGATACTTGTTCGCGATAGAAATAGAGCGCGATAACTTTTGTTGCTGACAGAATTTGACTCGTTTTTTAACATTATACATTATAGTATAACTTTAAAAATCGAGTAATAACTCGAAACAATTACTAAACAATACTGACCATTCCGTGCAGAAAATTCGGAGCCAAATCAACCCGACTTGGGCCCTATGAGGCCCCGACCATGTCTGCGGCTCCAGACGAGGTTCTGGCCAGGGCCCGGTCCAGCCCGGTCAAAATTGATCCTCGGTTTTTAAATATGTCTTTTTTCAAAGATCCCAGTTAAGCGTCAGTTTCCGCAACACGCTCATCACTAATGTAGAACCATAATCCCCGAAGCATTATAAAGACCGCTGGTTCATTAATACTCTCGCTTTCTTTCTCCCTCTTTCTTTCTCTCCGAACTGAGTTCCCCCACTCTCTCTTTCTTAGTTCATTGAGAACGTCTGGTATGCGAGGCCGGATTACATCAGATGGTCCATCTTTGCCAAAATCGAACGCCAACATATTTAATCACATTTAAAAAAAGTTTTCATTATTTTTTTTCATTTACATCAAAATATCTGTCTGTTTCAATAGAACGTTGTACAACGTTTAATTTTTTACAAGTTAAATACTCATTATTTTCATCTCAAAAAATTGACAAAATACCGAGTGAAGAATTTCTCACTCTTCTTTCAATTTCTTGTTTTAACGAAAATGACTTGGGGTTGAATGTAAAAATGAAATCAAAATTTAAAAGTTGTATTTTAACTTGAATTGAAAATTGTACAATTTTAGTATAAATTTTAAGAATAAATAAAAGTGATTATAGATAAGGGAGGTAAATTGAAAAAATTGATACTCACTGAGAAAGTTGACTATGTGTCATTGTTAGAGGGGGAGAGTGTGAATGTGCCGATGCCGTGAAAGAATGAATTTGAATTATCTTGTATTGTATTGAGAAGAATCTGTCCAGTGTAAAGTGGCCTTACTCGAACGAATGTGGCCTTCAACTTCCAGCCAAGGTTTTGAAGCTTGCGAACCGACTGGACCCTCATATCAACAGGATGCACGCCGCGGAGGAAGCATTTTACCAGATTGGCATACAATAAACATCACCGATAAAAGGATCTCGAATAATGGGTTCCTACAAAACTCGACAACAGGGTCCTGCGGGTAGGATTATTTCTTCATATCTTCCACGTTCTTGCAATTCAACATATATTTTCCCTGCAAAATCTGTAAGAAACAAACATTCTTATCAATTTAATTCATTTCATTCAAAGAAAAGCAATTTTTTCAAAGGATAATATCGTGACAATAGGATTAAAGAACAAATAGCCATATTACCTCAAATCTCGGTTATAAAATATTTCGTAATTTGATTGTTAAGTAAATTGCATAAAGGGTAGACTTACCCCTAACAATATTTATAATTACATTCAGTGCAGAAGAAAATAAAAATATAAATCCGGTGCCTATAATCAGTGTGCCGGCATAACATCAGAGAGATAGGTATATAGCGCGTAGGCGACTATTTGCACTGATTTCACACGTCACGAATCACTTACGCAAAAAGAGGAGCGAGAAACGACACGTTTTTGATAAAAAAGAGTGTAGGAAAATAAAGTGAGTTATTGCACTTTTACTCTATTCAGCATATAACTAACAAAATTTATATTCATAGAAAAAATTCGACTTTTTTGTGTTACAACACAATTTATTTTAGGTTATTTTTAATACCTTGAAGTTTGTCATTTATTACGTGAGTAAATGACAAAATAGCACTTGCAGAATAATTTCAAAGTATAATGATTTTTTCCATTATTTCAACAATACAAATAAGAAATCTGTAACAAATACAAATATTCGGTAATTTTTAAGCCAAAAATACAAATTATTATATTTCCCAAATCATAATTAATTTTATAAATTTTTAAATGTAAAGCGCCATTATTTAGAGGCGTCAAGTTGGCATATACATAGTTGGTATTTCTGGTATTTCCGTTATTGTTGTTGTTAGTGTTTTGCGTGTTTTGACATTTCTAACCTAAAAATATGTTTAACTTGTCCTTACACGGCAATATATACTTAATTATGTCTCTTGAAATAAACAAAACATTAAGTTATTGTTTGTTATGTCATGATATTTGTCTCAGGTAATTATTATATTTCATATTTCATTTATGATCATGAAGAAACAATCAGAATTTTAGTTTTTCCATTTTCCGTAAAAGTCATAACGATTTTTTAATTTGACGAAAATCTAATACAGGGAAAAGTCAGGGAAAGTAGAATTGGTCCAATTGGTCAGAGAATTCAGGGAAAAGTCAGGGATTTTTATTAAAAGTACTCGCATAAGAAATTTCTGAATTTTGGTGTCTTTTTTGTCAACCTATGAAAAAACTTAAATTATCACGAATTCTAATAGAAAACATTCATTTATTTAATAAATTATTTATTTTTGTATTCAAATAATTAAATTCTTGTAGAATTTTATAATTGTTAATTTATTTCTTTCGAAGAATTTTAATAACATTTTTGAAATTAGTTACACTTTTCGAACAAATTTCTTAAAATTGTATTAAAAATAATTGAAATCCTATGAAAAATGTTATTATTTATGAAAATAATTCAACTCTTATAAAGAATTTTATTAAATTTTTTCTAAATAATTGAATTGATGTAAAAAATAGTATTACTTGTAAAAATATTTGAATTCTTGAGAAGGATTTTGTTAAAATTTTACTAAATTATTTAATTTTTTTTAAATTTGGAGAAATTTAAATTATTATAAGTTGCTGAATTTCAAAAGGTTTGAATTTGAATCTTTTAAAGAATTTTAATTTCTATAGAAAAATAATAATGATTAAATATTTATTTAAAAATTAAGTTATTGTTGTTTTCGAGTAATTTTCCATTGGAGAAATTCGTAAATAAATATAATGGAACATTTTTATGAGTGTCTAATAATTTTTAGAGTGAATCAGAATATTCTTTCTTAGGGTCAGGGAAAAAGTCAAAATCAGGGAAAAGTCAGAGAAAAACAAAATTAATTTTTTATGGCAACCCTGTAATAGAATTTCCACAAAGCCTTTCACATTTTTTAAAACTGTCGATTTCTGCTTTATAGCCTCGCACACATAAAGTAAACATAAAAGAAAAACGCTGTTAATATTTTGATCCTTATTCACGGCTTCGAAGCAAAACCTGAAATTTAGATGCTAGTTGCTTATGAATTATTATTGAATCGGTTGAATGGTTTGCTTGACAGGTATGCTTTTGTTGAAAAATTGTCGTTCGTTAAAAGTTATATATGACGTCACGTCATCGCTGAAACTGTGAGATTTGTTGCATTCTTGCCTTAGAGATTTATGCACACTTTTAGGTGTCTGCTAAGCTGCAAAAACTGTGTCAATCAGAGGTTCACACCTATGCAGATTACTCGGATGAATTCTGAAGCCGAAAATTTAACAAAAATGTATATTTTTTTCAAATTACAGAGTGACACTAAAATAATTTCATACCGAACCGGGGATATTTACTGACATCTTCATTACGCCTTGAGTTACAAAAATGCGTGCATTATACATCTTTGTTGCTTTCAGAAGGGAACTAATTGTTATTTACAATCGGCCCAAATTATTAATTGAGACGTAGGGGAGATCGAGACTCAACAGGTGCATTGCTTTCGTCGGAATTGGTCGGAATTGGTCGGAATTTACAGGTAAGGCAACAAAGCACGCTTCCTATGTGACAGCACTTCCTATCGAAGGTGAAATTAGTAGTATCAGGATGGACGAAAAATAGGGCCGACCGCAAAATGGTAGAGTAAGGAAGTCGTCTTAAATCAAAAGAACAAGACATGGTCACTCTGGTGTAACCCCTTCCTCCGTCTCATAAAAGACCAAGTTAATCAAATTATCTATATCTGCTTCCTTCCAAAGGAACGAGCGAAAGCAGTCGACTTGAGTGATTTAGCCGAATTATACTTTTCCTGTTTATTCCTCAGACACGAGGAAACAGTGCAGGAGGAATTCCTCAAGTGAAACCAATTCTTACTACAAATGCCATTTTCACTGCAATTTCTTTTTCTTATTCCACTTTCAGAAAAACAATCTGTCAAACTTGTAAAAATCGTTTCTTTATTTATAACAAGAGAAGTTTCAAGTTTCAGCCACCCCATCGCAGTTATTGTAGGAGACTTCCGCTTTTTCATCCAACGAGACGACTAGTTGATAAGAAACAAAGGTTTGCGGAAGCAGACGTTTTGCAATAATGATTAAGTTTTCTTAGTCACGTATTTTCCATTAACAGTGACAAAGTCTTATTCAATTGGAGTCACGAAAATTTAAATAAATGACAATTGCGTTGAATGTTGAAAATGTTTTACAGAAACTTTAAAAACTGTTCTGTTCAACGAAACAAAAACAAATTTTATTATAGGTTCTATTGTCAAATTGGTAGTTCATATTAATTACAAAACTTAATTTTTTATTAAATTATAGTGTTATTTATTGCCATAAAGTTGAGTAAATTAATTTTGGAATACATATATAATTGTACATTATATCTAAATATATGTAATCAAGTTATTCTTTCAGTGAAAAACAATTTTTCTGTTGGTGACATATGGTTGTTTTTGTTTTAGAAAGAAGGGTGGCACATCCAGGACTTACGTTACATCAACTGACTTGGAAACCATTATCTTTTGGAAGTCACTATCGTGTTTTTCATCTTGGCAACAGACTTTCATTTGACACAATAACCGAGAGGTAATTATATAATCCATAATTATTTTATTCAAAGCAAGCTTCAAATTTTTATATTTCATCTTTTTTGGTAAAATTGTCATATAAATTAAAATACGTAATAAATGTCAGAAAGAGAAGGTGTTACTTTAACATGAAAACTGGTGTTAAAACAACACCAATTTTTTTCATTACAAAATAATAATTTTTTTTTTTTGCCAAAAGTCGGCTTTGGCAAATTTTTTGATAGTTTTCTCATATACCCTTTAATTTAAAAAAATCTCAAATCTAACAAAAACTGTTGATTCTACAAATTTTGGAAATTGCGATTGAGAAAAGACGAAAAGTTCGTAAATTGTACGATATAATTTTTGGAGAATTTTAGAGAAATTACAAATGATTGCAGAAATTCAATTATTTTCAAAAGTAATAAAATTCTTTGCAGAAATTCAATTATCTGTAGAAGTAATTAAATTCTTCTCTAAAATTCAAAAATTCAATTATTTTTAAAAATTTTAATAAAATTCTAGGCAAAATTTTAATTATTTTCAAATATTTTTCTCAATCAATGATTTTCAATATTTACTATTTTAATAAAATTGTCCAAAAGAATTCAATTATTTAACAACAATTTTTAATAAAATTCTTCGCAAACCTTTAATTATTTTCATAAAATAATAAAAATTTCACAGGAATTCAATTATTTACAAATTTTTTATAAATTTCTTCGCAATCATTCAATTATTTTCATAAATAATAAAATTTCTACGGGGATTAAATTATTTTCGTGAATAAAAAATTCTTTTTAGGAATTAAATTATTTTCTTAAATAATAAAACTCATTGCAGAATTTCAATTATTTTTAATACAATCTTAATCGAATTCCTCGAAAAGTGTAATAATTTCACTTTCAATTATTGAGGAAGAATTTTAGTTAAAAATTCTTGAAAATAATAATTGGGTCTTCGACTCGGAGTTATCAATATCTTCGTGTTTTATATAGTTGTGAAAAATTGAATTTCTAGTTTTAAGTAAAATGTTGTCTTACTTGAATCAGGAATAGAAAGACTGAATAAAGATTGCGGTGAAAAGAATTGACCACTCTATTGAGGCAAGTTTCCCTTTACTCGGCGAAAAATCCTAATCTCTTGACATATATTGAGTTTCTCCTTCGAAAAGCTTTTCATCGTGCGACAAAATGCGGGGTGCCATATGTCGCGCAAATACGAAATTCCCACACTTTAAGAGCTCGTACTTTAAAAGTCTTCTGGATGAAATTTAAATGAATGCGATTATTCAGCGAGGGTGATTCCCAGGCGAAATTGCTATACGGATTCCGGGATAACCCCTACAAAGACTTAATGATTCAGTTATACGACCTACAAAGTTGAGGTGTCCATGCATTTTTAGAAAAAAGACATGAATAATATACATAATCAAACCACTAGCAACCACTAGCGACCACTAGCGCGTGGGAGAATCCTTCGTGTGCCACAATGTGCGTATAAAATGTAAAGGCCATTGAAAGTCCTTCCGGTCTCCATTGCAACAGGTAAAAGGATCATCGTCTTTAGCGGGATTCATTTGCTCTCGCCCCAAGAAATTAGTCTACCGTTACACACTGATTATTAACTTTTAAGGTTTTCCTCCTTGGGAATGCTTGGGAAGCGGTGACAGTTTGCTGTGGAATTTCTAAAATGTTCCATCTGCGAACCACTTTTTAAAAGTCGTTCTATTATTTTTCATTTTTTGCAGTTCATTTTTTGCTACCAAAGGAAACTTCATGCAACCTTTTGTTTGAAATATGAGTGCAAAACTGTACAATAGTTGTTGAGAAAGAATGAAGAATTTTGAATTAGTTCGCCATATGGAATTTTGTATTTGCAATAATAAAAGGAGGGTGCTGATTAGACCGGATGTGGCGATTCAAAGGATTCACACGTATTACAAATTGTATAATGTAAAA